CCCCAGCAGGTTAGCGCCTGCTGAAGAGACCTCTGACGGAGACTGCCTCTTGATGGAGCCCAGCTGCCACTTTGAACTTGACAGTGGTTCGAGTTGATCGAGCTCATTTCCCCTAAAAGGTCTGACCCCAACGTAGTAGGTGAGAAATCAGTTCACTTGAAATCTGTTCCTGCACTGTGAAATCTGAATAGCAGGCTGTGCTGTGTATAGTCTGTGACTGTAGCTTCCAATTTTGTTTGATCTTTCTAGTCTTTTGACAGTGTATAAACCTAGGTACTTTATGGAGGTATGTAAATCGTGAACTTCCCATGAATATATATAAACTTTAAAGGAATTACTATCAGTGGGTGATTTAATAACCATCCTTTATTGTTGTGTCTGAATCCCTTCCACAGAAAAAGACGCAAACATCAAATGGAAATACTGCACTGAGCCTAATTTTAAATAGTACTTTTCCCATAAAAGCATCTTAACCCAGAGTCTGGTTCCAAAGTAACCTAACAAAGCAGACTATTTTTGTGTTTTCCTACCAGAAGCATTTATTGCTAAACTGGAGAAAGAGAAATTTCCATAGTACACACACACAGGACCTTCCTATTGTCACCTTCCATGTGAAGAGGGTCAGCAACTTACTGGTCAGATGGGCAGAGGGCCCGTTCACTGTGAACTAATGGGTTCCTGTTTGTAGGTCAAACAGGCTTAACTTCTTTAGTAATGAGATCAGATTCCTATTGGACAGTTAGGACTTATTTTTTTCATTGCTAATAACTGAAACCATTCAGCTGATACTAAACTTCTGCCAACACGACCTGCCTTCTAAACTTTACTATGGATTGCTTTGACTCCCTATTCCCATTCCCAAGATTAATGGTCCTACTTTTCCCAATGTAGCTGCAGGCGGATCCATAGCTAAGTGGTCTGATTCAAATGTCAAACTGTAAACATTTTGGCTGATACTCAATTTTCTAAATCAACACATACACATTTTTCAAAGAGTGTGGTTAAGTGTTCACTCCTGGCTTTGCTGTCCAAAAATGTTTTCCCTGTTGGCTGTCAATTTTACAAAACACATAGATTATATTCATATTTCTATAGCCCTTCTGGTGTTTTTCTGGAAATGCTGACATAATTAGAAAGTAAAACTGAGAAAATGTTGAAGCACCAAATGTAACATTTTTACTCCAGATTTTAAGTCTTGAGAGCCAGGGTTAATGCATCAAAGAGAAATCTCTTTCACAAGATTAGACAGAATTTTAGCATCCAGAAATGATACCAACTAAAATTTAACATGGATCTATGCACATGAACCAGCAACCAGATTCACTTTTTAAAATTCTTCCCTAAAATGCAACATCACTATTGTAATTTTACACTGAAAAGGTGCGTTTGGGCCTTAAAAATCAACTGTCCGTGAACAACTTCAACAAAAAGCACAGAGTGACTCAGGCAGTGTGGCACAGTAGCTAGGGACATGGCCCTTCCAACTATCTGGGTTCAAATCCTAGCTTTGCCACTTACTCCTCCAGTTACCACTTCATCAGTAAAATGGTGACTCTTTGTACTTCACCGAGCACTTAAGGATTAAACCAATTACTGTGTATAGAATGCAAAGAACAGTGGCTGGCATGTGACAGTGAATGCTTCTGCAACATGTACCTTTACTATTATACCATGCAGCACAACACATCATTAATTTCATGTTTGAGGTATTAAAAATAACATACATTGCAACAGAAAAAGCTTTTTTCCCCAGTAAAATTTTTAATCAAGGTATCTGCCCTCTTCCAATATAATAGTTTGATTCACTGCTGCCTGGCTTACCTAAACACTAAAAACCCAAGGACTCATTTTCAAATTTCTAAATGAATTTATTGGCCTCTTTCCTGTTATTCTAGAACTCACAAAATCACAATACTTGAAAACACTGAGACTACTAGGCCCTAAATCCATTTCATGAGGGGCAGGAGGCCAGGACTGAGGTTGTGGGTGCCTGCTGGATACTTTGCTGCCTCTTATCATGTGCAAATGCACATTCCAAATCTGTCTTGTGAAAATAACTGCTCCCACATTTTTTTTTTTTTTTTTTTTTTTTTTTTTTTGACAGGCAGAGTGGACAGTGAGAGAGAGAGAGAAAAGGTCTTCCTTTGCCGTTGGTTCACCCTCCAATGGCCGCCGCGGCCGGTGCGCTGCGGCCGGCGTACCGCGCTGATCCAATGGCAGGAGCCAGGAGCCAGGTGCTTTTCCTGGTCTCCCATGGGGTGCAGGGCCCAAGCACCTGGGCCATCCTCCACTGCATTCCCTGGCCACAGCAGAGGGCTGGCCTTGAAGAGGGGCAACCGGGACAGAATCCGGTGCCCCAACCGGGACTAGAACCCGGTGTGCCGGCGCCGCTAGGTGGAGGATTAGCCTAGTGAGCCGCGGCGCCGGCCACACTTACTTTTGCCTTAAAAGAAACTCCATCCTACAACTGTTAAAGGGATTAAAAGGTCTAGTTTAGACTTACCTCTGAAATCAAAAGATTTAAACATTTTATGAACTTGGGATTTTCAAAAAATATTTATTTGAAAGGCACAGTTACAGAGAGGTGGGCAGCGGGGGGGGCGGGGTCTTCCATCTGCTGGTCCGCTCCTCAGATGTCCACAACGGTGGAGCTGCGCCGATCCAAAGCCAGGAGCTGGGAGCTTCTTCTGGGTCTCCCATGTGGGTGTAGGGGCCCAAGGATTTGGGCCATCTTCTACTGCTTTCCCAGGCCAGAGCAGAGAGCTGGATCCGAAGTGGAGCAGCCGGGACGTGAACCAGCACCTACAAGGGATGCTGGCAGGTGGCAGCTTTACCCACTATACCACAATACCAGCTCCCTGATATTGGGATTTTTCTAGGCCTAAGACATCAAAAGCTTAGGGCTTCAAAGGATATGAAGTCGAAGAAGAAAGGTTTGTGTATGCCTGTGTATATTCCAAGCTATAATTAAGTTCCCCTATTTCAACCTCTCTTTAATATTTGCTGGGATATCCTTTTTTAAAAACCCTTTGGGAAAAATATACAAAAGAATACTTTCAGATTAAAATCCAAGTTATCGGTCACTCAGGATAAACAGATCCACTTGCCCCACTGAAACCTTTGCAGGTTTTCTCAGTCATAATACTCTCATCTGCTCTAACCCACCTTCACTGTATCACAACTGATCTAAAAAGTGATAGAACACCTAAAAATTACAAAGCAGAAGACATCACAAATAATGAGGCTGAAAGTAGAACACATTATCAGTGTTCATTCTCTTTGATAACCACAGAATGTTTCTTTTGTGTGTACATTGAAGGACGGTTTCAGATACATAAGAAACTTGTTTCATTAGCTTGTACTAGGTAATATTAATAGAGACATGGTGTCTTCATGGTGCAGTGGCAACACCAACATCCCACATCAGAGTGATGGATCCTCTGCTTTTGATCAAGCTCCCAGCTTATGTGCCTGCGACAGCAGTGGAAGATGGCCCAAGTACCTGGGCCCCGGAGGGAGACCCAGATGGATTCACCTAAGAAGTGAACCAAGCAATGGAAGATTCTATTTCTCCCTGTGATATATTAAAGGGACAGGGCAGCTGCTAGGCCATAATGGGTTAAAGCCACTATTTCGGACCCCAGCATCCTATGTTGGGAGTGGCTCCTCCACTTCTAATTCAGGTTCCTGCTGATGCATGCTGGGAGGCAGCAATGGCTTAAGTCCTTAGCTCCTTGCCACCCTGAATGGAGTCCAGGGGTCCTGGCCCCAGACAAGCCCAGCCCTAGTTATTGTAGGCATTTGCAGAGCAAACTGGCAGCTGTTTCTCCTTGCCTTTCAAATAAACAAACTTTAAAAAATATTGAGACAACTTTAGACTCCCTCCTCCAGTCCACCAAAAAACCACACAAAACATGCATCCCAACTGAAAAACCCTGGTAGGACCATCCCAAGTCCAGAGAGATTCCCTAAAAATCCCCAATTCATGGTTAGGCTTTTTTCTGTCCATTCTGCTATACATTAACATTCAAACCTAGTCACCTTTACACCGTCACTCAGTAAATACTTAAGCCCACAAATCCATCGGGGGCCAGTGTGGCACAGCAGGTTAAGCACCTGGTTTAACTCCAAGCTTCCTGCCAGATGCACCCGAGAGGCAGCAGGCGATGGATGGCTCCAGTATTTGATCTCAGCCACCCACACTGCAGACCTGAATGAAGTCCTGGGTTCCTGCTTCAGCTTGGCCCAGAGCCGGCTGCTGCTGGCATTTGGGGAGTGAACTAATAGATGGAAGCTCTGCCTTCAAATAATTAGAAAAAAACTAAAAACAAAAAACTACCACCAAGTCTAACCATGTCCATCATAAGTACACTAAAAAGGAACTACAGAGGTCAGGTCCTTGGAGCAGCCCGTACCACCAATGCTTACAAACAGGATTTCTTCAAATTTTAAGTTACAGAAGTCCATCTGTTTCTTTTTTCTTTTGAGATAGAATTCAAGAATTACAAATAAACATGTATAGTCACCCCTTGTGGTATCCATGGGAGACTGGTTCCAGCATCCTACCTTGGATACCAGAATCTTCCCCTATACTTTCTCTCTCCAGACCAGATTACGTAATAAATACTACGTAAATAGCTGATTGTTTAGGAAATCACAAAGTCCATACATGTTTAGTATTTTTTTTCCTGAGTATTTCTGATTTGCAGTTGGCTGAACCTGCAGACACAGAATCTACTCGTCTATGATAGCTTCACCATACAAAATTCAATGTGCAACGAAACACATGCTTGAGTCTATCTATGGCCCAGCTACAAAATCAAAGATTAAACTATAGTGTGTTTATCTTGAATCGAGATAATTACTTCCTAAGTGTGTAAGGTCAATTATTAAGCTGGAATGCTACACTGAAAATATACTAATTCATTTCATTTCCAGGAAGCAAACTTCAGACAGAATTTACACAAATCATTGAGACCAACTATATTAGTTGTGCAAATTTTTATTTAAATGCACTGGAAGAGAAATGAACTTTTAATTCAACTGAACTGTATGGAAAAATCAAACAAAATAAATTAGACCCATGTTAAAATAAAAGGTCAGCTAAATGTCCAAACTGAAGGACATAATGGGCACAGATAAACATGAACTCCACAGTCTTCTTAACGAGGTTGAAGTCTTTTCAAATACAACTCTGCTATAACTGGTCCAGAGATCAAGAGCATACATATGGGAATGCTTAACAAGGATGGTGATCAGGAACACGTTTCCTATAAAGAAAAGCATCCATGTAAGAAAAAAGTGAATAGTGAAAAATGAAAAGCGTAATTTTAACCAGAGTTTTAAACCACAATTCTAGCTTTATTAAAACCATTATATGCCAGTCTCTACAAGGACACTTCCACCTCCTAACATTCATCACCATGTAGTGAGAGCACATCTACATGGACTGGTACTCAGCAGTTCTCAACTTCTCACTCAGATATATTCTCCAGTGCCCAGAACTGTGCAGCTGCAGGTAAAGTTACCTCCTGTGACACCAGCATCCCACATGGGCACTGAATCGTGTCCTGCCTGCTCTACTTCTGATCCAATTCCTTGCTAATGGCCTGGGAAAGTTAGTGGAGAATGGCCCAAATATTTAGGCCCCTGCTACCCATGTAGGAGACTCAGATGAAGTTCCTGGCTTCAGCCTGACTCAGCCCAGGCTGTTGTAGCCATCTGGGGAGTGAATCAGCAGATGGAAAACCTTTCTTTCTGTTTCTCCCCCTACCACTCCCTCTCTGTAACTTTCAAATAAACAAACAACAAAAAATGCTTTCCCCAAAAGTTTACTTTATATTTTCGACTAATACATGTATTAGGAACCTTTACCACATTAATAAAATACAATTACTTTGAACTAGAATTACAAATGCCAACAGATAAGTCTCCATGTTCTACTACCTAGTTATTAAATAAATGCAGTTCCCTTTTGTCGTCTGAATGTATTTTTTTCTGAGAATTAAAAGCATCACAGTACCTTGGTGCTGCTTTGATGATGTTGTCCACACGTAGAATCACCTCTGCTGCTTCAGCTGCACTCAACAGAACTTGTCGCTTCACTTGGAAACTTTCTGTTATACCCAGTACTGCCATATCCCCAATAGTACCTTCTTTCATATCTGAAAAGACAAAGTATTTACTAACCGATCTTAACAATCAGCATATCAAAACGACTAACAAAACCGATTTAGTGCCTCAGCTTATAAAAGCACTCGAAGTTTCCAAGTTACTCCGTGCTTCTGATCCAGCTTCCTAAGGCACATGGAGACAGTGCATAATAGCCCAAATAACTGGGCTCCTGGCTCCTGGCAGTGGCCTGACCCAGCCAGGGTGTTGCAGGTACTAGGAGAGTGAACCAGCAGGTGAAGATACCAGTTTTCCCCCTCCTCTCTTGTCATTCTGCCTTTCAAATAAATAAATCTTAAAAGAAAAAAATAAGTAAAAACCAGGTGCAGGTGCTTAGCCTAGGTAGGACTTTATCAACTAGGAGTTGAGATGTCTACATTCCATTTGCCAGTGTGTCAGACCCAGCTCCATTCCTGATTCCACCTTTCTGCTGATGTTCACTTGGAATGAAGGAGGTGATGGTTTAAGTAGCTGGGTCTCTGCCATCCACATGAGACCTGAACTAAATTCCCAGCTGCTGCTTTTGGCCTGGCCCATGGCAGACCTCTGGGGTGTGAACCAGAAGATGGGAGCTCTTGCTCTCTGCCTCTCAAATAATACAAACTTAAGAAATGTATTTTGTAAAAATCTGCTCATTACTAATTACTGTGGAATCTTAATATTTGAAAGATATTATTGGAGTTCTCTTGTGCAGATGGGTTATCTATTCTGACACAGCTATTTTTCTAGCATTTTTTAAAATGTTTAAAAGGCAAGGGCCTTGAATTCATATCTTCCCATTAAAAAAAAAAAAAGATCTGTGAGTTACTTCTAACTACTGAAAAGTTCCACTTTATTTTGGTTTATCCATTTAAATCCCGTGGTCACTAATACTCGATTAGGTTTAAATTTTCTAACCACTCTTATAACCCCTATGGAGTCACATTTGGCAGTACTGAGAACAAATTTTTCTAGCACTTTGTAAAATGTTTACAAAGGCAAGTGCTACAAGAATATTTTACACAGTTACCTTGAATTCATATCTTCCCATTAAAGAAAAAAAAAAAATAAGATCTGTGAGTTACTTCTAACTACTGCGAAGTTCCACTTTATTTCTTACCCAGTCCAGCAGTTACATTGCCTTCACTGTGAGCAGCTCGGAGCTGTGCAACCAGATCTGCACTGTCATAGCCTGCATTGTCAGCTATGATGGTCGGCAACTATGAAAATGAAGATAATGAATAATGATTAACTGTTCTAAGAACCACTGATTTACTCTTAAGTAGGATAGTATGAGTTATTTATCTGAAAGGTAGAAGAGGGTAGACACACAGAGATCTTACATCCATTTGTTAACTCCCAAATGGCCGTGATGGCTGGGGCTGGGCCCGGCTGAAGTCAGGAACCTGGAACTCCAACTGGTCTCTCTATACCCTGTATCAGAAGCAGAGCAACCAGGACTCAAACCAGCACTCAATCCAGCTCCCTAAAATGTCTGAGAAGAAACGGAATATAACCCAAGTACTTGGGCTCTTAATACCCATGTAGGAGATCCAGAGTTCCAAGCTTCTAGCTTCAACATGGCCCAACCCTTGGCTGTCTCAGCCATTTGGGAGTGAACCAGTAGATGAAGATCTGTCACTCTACCTCTGTAATTCTGCCTTTCAAATAAATTAATCTTTAAAAAAATACCATTTGGAAATAATGTAAAAACACTATTTCCTTAAAAAAAATTTTGAGAGGCAGAGACAGAGAGGGAGAGAGGCTTAGACAGAGAGAGAGGTCTTCTATCCTCTGGTTTGCTCCCCAAATGGCCACATCAACTAGTGAGAGACCCAAAGTCAGGAGCTTCCTCCAGTCTCCCACACAGGTGCAGGGGCTCAAGCACTTGGGGTCATCTTCCACTGCTTTCCCAGGCCTGTAGCAGGGAGCTGGATCAGAAGTACAACAGCTGGGACACAAACTGGCGCCCATTTGGAATGCCAGTGCCATAGGCACAGCGGAGGCTTAACTGTATACCATACCCTACTTCCTTTTAATTACTGCTCATGAAGAGGATAAACTCCAAAAACAAATTTAAAAAATTTTAAAAAATGTGTTTTTAGATTTTCTGTGTAGGATAGAAAAAGTACTCTTCTATATGGGGACCAGTGTTGTGGCATAGCAAGTTAAGCTGCCGCCTGAGAGGCCAGCATCCCACATGGGCACCAAGAAAGACCTGGCTGCTTCACTTCTGATCCAGCTCCCTAATGTGCCAGGGAAACAGTAGATGCCCAAAATCCTTGGGTCCCTACACACACAAGGGAGATCTGGAAGAAGCTCCTGACTCCTGGCTTTGGCCTGGCTTAGCCCTGGCCACTGCAGCCATTTTGAGAGTAAACCAGGGAATGAAGATCTGTGTCCTCCTCTGTGCAGCACTTTTAAATACAGAAAACCCCAATCTCTTACTACCTTACCATTCTTAGCGCTTTAGCATAAGACTCCATTGCAACAGCTTCTTTGCCTGGTGTCCTATTGGCAAGCTGTGTCACAGCATGAGCCATCAGCATCTCAGAGCAGCCTGCACATTAAAAGTCCCATAAAACATGGTTATGTCTGTTGTTTCCAAAACACTTAATGATGTCAAATACTTTAAAAAATTAACTGCAAAGGCAATATGAAATTCATATAAGAACTATTAAGACAATTTATGACTAACATTGTACAATAAGAAATAAAATATATTCATTATTTTCCAAATGCTTACCTCCTCCATAAACTGTTCTAGAATCCTTGACAGTTTGGGCAAGAACACAAAGAGCATCATGCAACGATCTTTCTGCTTCATCTAAAATTTGCTGAGTAGCACCACGCAAAACAATAGTGCAGGCCTCACCTGAAATTAAAACATAGTAGCCATGTCATAGTGACCACCTCACCATAAAACAGCTTGCTTTCTATAATTTATGTAGGTGTTGGTTATATTATTAGAGTTAAAAATTTATGTTTCCACTACTATTTACTCTTCTTCATAAGTTCACAATGGTTCTAAATTATGGAGGGGAAAAAACTCTAGGACCAACACACACTCTTCACAAATGCATCATAAATCTGAGGTTTCTCTTAAACTAAATTACAACATGCACATGCTTCTCCAGAGTTCAGACTAACACAGTATCATATTCTAGTAAACGCAGTTAACTCCTTTGGCAAGTATTTAGGCACCTTGCCCAGGACCTACTTCAGCACTCACCAAGGGCAACTCCAGAAAAGTGAATGAGTTTGTCTTCTCCAATCATGACTTCCTCAATAAGTTTGCAACTTCCAAGCTTCACCAGCTCTGGGTGATCAAATGTAGAGGCAATTTCACCACCTATGAACATGAACAAACATTAATTCACTGCATGACAGTGTTTTGTCTTACTTTTCATCTCCCTGAAAAACAGCATCAGAGATATCTTTCATCCCCTGGTTTACTTCCTCAGACACCTGGTTTTAACAATGAAGGGTAGGGTAGGTTAGGCTAAACCAGTAAATCTAGCTGGGGGTCTCACATGGGTGGATAGGGCCATCATCTGCTGCATCGTTGGAGGCACTAGCAGGAAACTAGATCAGAAGTGAAGTGCTAACAGTCAAACCAGCACTCCTGATGTGGGATAAAATGTCCTGAGCAGCAGCCTAACCCAGTGTACTGCAGGGTAAACTCTGCCTGACAGGTTTAAGATTTTTCTAACAAGTAACAAACACGTTAACCAATGTTTTAAAAATTGATTGCTTCCTATTGCCAGGCAGTCTTTTACTCACTTTATGTGGGTCCACTATTCAATCCTCACAATAATACTGTAGGGGAGATTCAGTGCTACTTCATTTTACATAATACAAATGAAGCAGAGATTTGGTTATTTCCCCAAGATTACACAGATAGCAGAAGCTGGGATTCAAATCTAAGCATGCGGGCTTTAGACCTATATGCACATACCCACTACCTACAAAGGTTAAATTCTTTAGACTTTTTTATCTCTAAGCCTGAATTTAAATTGAACCTAACCTAGAACACTAAACTCTTTAGGATAAAATTTCCCAGCACAGGACATGAAATATTTAATCAATTCATTTTAGTCTTTGGGGCTTATATCTACATTTTCCCTTTCACACTGGAAATCAATCAGACCAGACACTTCATTACATGCTTAACTAAGCAAAAATTAAAATTTCTATTTCAAAATCCCTTTCTCCTGATTACTCTTTCAATAATGTGGTTTGTAACATTTTAGTCATCCCTTCTTTCCTACTCCTTATGGTAAATCTGAGAAATCAATACTTTTTAGCTTTCTATTGTACCAAAAATTTATAATTTTTGTCTTCTAAATTCTACTAATTCATACTCTTAACTTGCATACCTGAAGTTGTTTTCAATTTTAACTGAGGGGCTGGCACTGCAGTGTAGAGGGTAAACCCACTATGTGAAATGCTGGGTACTGGTTCAACTCCCAGCTGCTCCACTTCTGATCCAGGCTTCCTGCTAACTGCCCACCAAGATGGCCCAAGTACCTGGGGCCCTGCCACCCACCTGTTGAGATCCAGAAAAAGCTCCTGGCTTCCCATCGTTCCGGCCCAGCTCTGGCCATTGTGGCCATTTGGGGAATGAACCAGCAGATGAAGGTCTTTCTACCTCTCCCTTTCTCTGTAATTACCACTTCTCAAATATTTTTTTTAAAAAATAGTTTAAAAACTATTTTTTGGTTGAAAAATTTCTGAAATGGCTTTATATCTCAGATGTGAGACAACACATCTGAGACATAATATCCAAAACTAAGACTTAACTTGGCTTCTGAGAATTTTTACTTCATTTTTCTTCATCTACTCATGCAACATTTCTTGACATTTCCAAGAACCAATTTCACACACCTTAACAACTGAGCTTCTGAGGACAAGAGCCATCATGGGGTCAATTTCACAGCCATCCACAGTATGTTTTCTGCTGGCTCTATGTAGTCATTTCATGTTACCAAGTCCTTGTATCAATTTATTCCACTAATGTGACATTCATATTTGTCTTTATTTTTCTTGCTTTAAAGGATGAGTTTAGGCTTTTAAGGATTTTTAAAGCAGATAAACTTATTATGTAGAAGTAATAAAAGGAAAAAGCCTCTTTAGATAAGGAGACTATGCCATTCAAATTATTCAAAAATTACTTAAGAAATCATTCTGGGTTGAGACTATGTTCTCTCCAAATACTGTTAACTTTAATTTCTTCTAATGATCATGGTAGCTCCGTCCTAATGTGACATTACTAGCACTTCAGGCCTCAAAATTCACCAAATCTCTCTAACTCCGATTTCCAGATCTCATGTGTTCCAGCCAACTCATTCATTTTCAAAGACCTGAAAATGAGATACAGGTCACTAAACTTGGTTTGCACAAATCTACTTTTAAGATTACTCTGGCTTAGGCCGGCGCCGTGGCTCAATAGGCTAATCCTCCACCTTGCGGCGCTGGCACACCGGGTTCTAGTCCCGGTCGGGGCGCCGGATTCTGTCCCGGTTGCCCCTCTTCCAGGCCAGCTCTCTGCTATGGCCAGGGAGTGCAGTGGAGGATGGCCCAGGTGCTTGGGCCCTGCACCCCGAGACCAGGAAAAGCACCTGGATCCTGGCTCCTGCCATCGGATCAGCGCGGTGCGCCGGCTGCAGCGGCGGCCATTGGAGGGTGAACCAACGGCAAAAGGAAGACCTTTCTCTCTCTGTCTCTCTCTCTCACTGTCCACTCTGCCTGTCAAAAATAAAAAATAAAAAAATAAATCTTAAAAAAAAAAAAAAAAAAAATAAGATTACTCTGGCCTGCGCACGGCTCACTTGGCTAATCCTCCATCTGCCGCGCCGGCACTCCGGGTTCTAGTCCCGGTTGCTCCTCTTCCAGTCCAGCTCTCTGCTGTGGCCCGGGAAGGCAGTGGAGGATGGCCCAAGTCAGCGGAAGGAAGACCTTTCTGTCTAATTCTGCCTGTCTTAAAAAAAAAAAAAAAAAAAAAAAAAAAAAAAAAAAAAAAAAAAAATTTTACTCTAAAACCCATTAACTGGGGCTGGGGTAGGTGTTTGGCCTGGGGGGTAAGACTCCACAACCCTGGGTTCAACATGCAGCTCTGCTCCTGTCTCTAGCTTTCTGCTAAAGTAGCTCAGTGTGGCTTAACTGGGTTCTTCTTATGCAGAAAGGAGACCCAATCTGAGTTCCAGACTCCCTACTTCAGCCTCAGGGCAGAGGTCACTGCAGTTAGGAAGGGAACCAGAACACAGGAGACCTGCTTCTAGGTCTGTCTCTCTTCAAATAAAATAAAAACAAATAATACACTAGACTATGACCAAAGATTCAGAAGCAGGTGTTGTGGTATAGTGTGCTAAGCCACTTGTAATCCCAGAATCCCATATAATCAGAGTGCTCATCCAATTCCCTGCTAATGAGCCTGCCTAAGTGCTTGGGGCCCTGCTGCTTATAGAACTCTTCAAGTTTTTTTTTAAAAGACTCAAGATTCCTTTTCGGGGCCAGTGCTATGGCACAGCAGGTTAAAGCCCTCACCTATAGTGCCGGCATCCCATGTGGGCACTGGTTTGAGTCCCTGCTGCTCTACTTCTGATCCAGCTCCCTAATGCGCCTGAGAAAGCAGTGGAGGATGGCCCAACTCCTTGGGCCCCTGCACCTGCATGGGAGACCTGGAGGAACCTCCTGGCACCTGGCTTCAGATAGCTCAGCTCCAGCCATTGTGGCCAACTGGGGAGTGGACCAGCAGATGAAGGACCTCTCTCTGTCTCCATCTCTCTCTGTAACTCTTTCAAATGAACAGTAGAATACATCTTTTTTTAAAAAAAATTGGTATTATGGGTTTGAGAGAAAAAGCTAGTAACGGTTAACACAACAAAAAGAAATGTATACCTAAAGTGAATTAAAAGGTACTTCAAAAAGGTTTACTGGAATTAACAGGTAAATTTGTCTTGGTAAAAACGAACTGAAATCTATGCATTTCATCAAATACTTTCCATGAACTTTCTGAAGACCTCTTGTATGCATGGACTTCGAACATACCATTTACTTTATTTCCATGAAATTTTTTGAAGTACATTTGTATTAAAAAATATTGTAACTAAATTAAAGGTACCTAAACATGGAAATCAGATTTCAGAGTAACTGCTTAGATTCTAAGCTCCTAAAAGGGATTTATTTGTATTCCCCACAATGAGTTACACATGGTAACACTCAGTAAATCCAACAGCAATTATGTCTGCTAGAAATTCATCTTTTTTCTGTACCTGTAACAAGAGCTAGGCGTTCCACCCCTGCAAAATCTGCATGCTCAATTGCCATGACACCAGCAGCACCAAAGAGCTGTTCAGGATAATTATAAATTAATTGCCTGAAAACAAAACACGTAAAACATTACGTTTAAAACTATCACAAGATAAACTACATAAGACTAAAACATGTAGAAACATTTTTACCTCCCCACTAAAGAAATGCTAATCAGAGCAATGTATCACTTTTCATCTCTATGAATCACAATATTAATACAGCCTTGCTAAAACTGACTACAAATGTTACGTAATGAAGCCATTTAAAAGAATTTTTATATACAGTAAAAAAACACAACTTGCCAATGACTTAAACGTCCACTAGTAGAGTGTGTAAATCACAAGTTGCTGAGTAAAATAAAATCCTTAATTTTAAAAATATGCATAACAGATCCTAAATAATAACGGATTTAAAGTATTTCACATATTTTCATAGAAAAATCCTCTGTAAATAATATTAGGGCAAATACAGACCTGTTAATAAAGCAATTTATCCCATGCTTAAGAATACGTTCAACTTTCTCCTTCATTTTTTCCTTTTCTGCATGTTCTATTTCTGCAACTTTTGCTGTAGAATCAACCCTTACTCGGGAACCAAATATCTAAAAGTATAAGTAAAACATCAGTTTCATTACTTTTTAAAAGTCCCCTATTTCCAACATTTCAATCACCATATACATGAGAAAGCATATGTGTTTAATTATATATTCATAAATAAATCTTTCAGTGCAATTGATTCCAACCATCAGAATTTGAATTAATGTAGCTACATACCTTTATTTTGTCTGTATCCATTCCAGTATTTGCAATAAGAATTTTAGCATTTTCAATTCGCTTTGGCTGATTTACTCCAATTTTTTTATCCAACAGAAAGCCTAAGTAAGCAAAAAAGTAGTACTATATCATATACTTCAAGTCTGCATTAGTTCATCTTTTGAACTGAGGTGGTGGTACAAGGGAAAAAAATCAAGGGACAATGGTAGCCTTCCAAACCTGGCTCAAATCAAGCCCCTGAAGCTTATTGGCTATGTAACCTTGAGATACTCATCTGTAAAACAGGAAAACAACTGGCGGCACTGATAAGATGCTAATTTCCAAATATAACCCTACTAATCATATGAAACACGTTCAGTAAGATTTCAGATCCAAACATTAAATCACTATTATCTTGAATTTTCTGCTTAATTTAGCTGAACCTAAATCCCTACTTTCTGGGCCATCATCTTGAACGAAATGATAAATTCGTATCACAACACCTGGCACAGAACAGACATTCAAAAACACAGCTTCTCAGGTAAATATTATCCATTTTAAGCATCCTTCCCTGCCAAAAGCCTTTCAGAAATGCTACAACAGCCCTTTGCATATTAATCTGAGCATTTTTACAATTACTATACTCTTTTAAAAGGAGAAGTTGTAAATTACAACCTAACCCTTTTTTTCCAAAGGGAATACCTATACTTTCTACAGACCATTTTGTAAACACACTATGAAGATACTTTGAAATTAAATTATTTTGGGGGGGGCTGGCCCTGTGGCACAGGTTAACACTCTGGCCTGAAGCACCGGCATCCCATATGGGCACTGGTTCAAGACCCGGCTGCTCCACTTCCCATCCAGCTCTCTACTGTGGCCTGGGGTAGCAGTGGATGGCCCAAGTCCTTGGGCCCCTGCACCCACATGGGAGACCTGGAAGAAGCTCCTGGCTTTGGATCGGTACAGCTCCAGCTGTTGCAGCCAATTGGGGAGTGAACCAGTGGATGGAAGACCTCTCTCTGCCTCTCCTCTCTGTGTAACTCTGAATTTCAAATAAATAAATCTTTAAAAAATAAATAATGTTAGGGCCGACGCCATGGCTCACTTGGCTAATCCTCCACCTGCGGTGCCGGCACCCCAGGTTCTAGTGCCAGTTGGGGCGCCAGGTACCAGTCCTGGTTGCTCCTCTTCCAGTCCAGCTCTCTGCTGTGGCCTGGGAGGGCAGCGGAGGATGGCCCAAGTGCTTGGGTCCCTGCACCCGCATGGGAGACCGGGAGGAAGTACCCAGCTCCTGGCTTTGGATAGGCACAGCGCCAGCCGTGGTGGCCATTAGGGGAGTGAACCAGTGGAAAGGAAGACCTTTCTCTCTGTCTGTCTGTAACTCGGTCTCTCTCACTGTCTAACTCTGCCTGGCAAAAAATAAAAAAAATAAATAAATAATTTTGGAACAAAAAACTACTATACTTGCTCTTAACCAAGAGGCTGAGAAGTGATAAGCAAAAAACTTTACAATCTGCACGTATAGGAGTCTTCAAAAAGTTCATGAAAATGTTATGAAATATGCATAAATTTCCAGGTTTTGTTTACCAAAATGAACTCATCTTCTAATTCCATTTTCTACAAACTTTACATTCATGCAATCCTGAGAAAAGTGTCACTTGAGAACAGTCAACTTTTAGCAAAAGAAAACTACCATTTCAAAGCTGGCATTGTGGCCCAGGGTTAAGCTGCTGGCTGTGCTATTATCAGAATAGCAGTTTTGGTCCTGGCTGCATGGCTTCATAAGGTGCCTGGGATAAGTGACGAAAAGATATACCAATTACTTGGGCCCCAGCCACCAGAGGAAACCTGGAGTTCCTGGCTTCCTGATTTGGTCCGGCCCAGATCTGGCTGCTGTGGCAATCTGGAGAATGGATGAGCACAGAGAGGCTCTCTGTCACTCTGCCTTTCAAGCAAGCAAATAACCTAAGTACAAACCACAATTACTGTTTAGGCTGGAATGGTGTGTGGACTACAAAACTGGTCGTAGTACCTTTTATGTCCTTAAAAACAAGTTTTCTAACTTTGAAAAGTGTCACTGGTCCCAACTGGCTAAAAAAGGATTTATTCAGTATTCAGCCCTCAAAATCTGAAGAAAACTTCTTTCCCATATTCTATACACATACCTTCATCTAAATAGGAATCGGCCAAACTTCCTCCAAGCTTCTTGATGATGTGAATTGCCTCCAGATTACCAGAGCCCTTCAGTCTGAGAACAGCTTCCACAGCTAACTTAGTAAAGTGATCTTTGTGATGAGTAAGCAGTTTTGAGGATAATGTTGTTCCTGCAATATTCATTAAATCCTGACGGAACTTAACTTCATCAGAACTAAAGAAAAAAAAAAAAAAAAAAGAAATTCATACCTACTCTTCAAACACTTATCCACCCTAGTTTACTTCTCAAGATTCATCAAGATAATTTGACTCGATATTTTACCCTAACTGGGTCAGTCTCTAAGACCATGTGAAAAGAATTAAACCTTACCAGGTGTTAATGCAATATACACACTGGGGCAGGAATCTGGCACAGAGGTTAAGCCACCATATGGGACACCTACATCCCATACAAGAGTGTCTGGGTTTAGGTCTCAGCTGCTGATTCCTGCTAATAAGAACCCTGGGAGGCAATGACTATGGCTCAAGCACTTAGGTCCCTTCCACCCATGTGAAAGACCATGGATGGAGTTCCCAGCTTCTGGCAGTATGAACAGTATAGACAGTACCAGCCGTTGCGGGCACTGGGCTGTGACCCAGTGGATGGAATATGTCTCTCTTTTTCAAATAATTTTTTAAATGTCTGTATTTTATTTGAAGTCAGAGTTAGAGAGGGACAGAGAGATCTTCCATCTGCTGGTTCACTTATGTGGCTGCCAACAGCCAGGGCTGAGCCAAGCCAAAACCAGGAGCTTCATTTGGGTCACCCATATGGTTAACAGGGACACAAACACTTGAGCTGCCATCCACTGTATTTCCCATCAGCAGGGAAGCAGATCCATAGCAGATCAGCCATGACACGAACCAGCACACATATGGGATGCCAATGTTGCAGGCACCAGCTTTACCCACTATGCCACAATGCTGAACTCACATAAAAATTTTTTTTAAAAGCTTTAAAACTAAACTGCTCCCCACGCCTCCAAAAGTACAAGAAAAGGCAACACAAAGTAATATCAAATGCTGTCAGAAATGTGAGTAAACATTGTTACATGGCTACCAGGAGTGTAAACTAATTATTTTAGTAGGCTTATTTGGTATACATCAGTAAAACATGCATGTATCTTTGGACCAAAAATTTTACTTCTGGAAGCATTTTGGGGGTTCCAGGTATGTCATAACATTATTTTATTTCAATAATTTATGCAAAGAAGACTGGAATTCCAAACTACCTTCAGTGGCCATCTGAGGTAGGTCTGATTATTTTGGAGGCTACAGGACAACAGGATCATGCATAGTTTTCAATGTTCTCTAGGTTTATTGCATTAAACACGTTATGAAAGAATGCAAAACATTTTAAAAAGCAGTACTATGGTATAGTAAGGTATACTGACCCATGATCAACTGCAGAACTCAACAGAGCCTCTCTCGCAGCCTTTGTGGCTTCTCTCCATCCAGCAATGATGGTCTGTGGATGGATCTTTTTTGCAATTAAAGTTTCTGCTTCCTATTAACAAACCATTATGTTAAAACAGACAAATTTAATAAACACTTAACAAGTTAAAAATGAAAATTAACAATTTGATTACTGCTGATATGCAAAAGCATAGCACAAAAAAAACACTTCACAAAATGAAGTTAGAATCAGTAATTCTTACCCTTAGTAATTCTGCAGCTAAAACAGTAACAGAGGTGGTGCCATCACCAACTTCATCATCTTGAACCCTAGACATATCTAGGGAAAAAAATTAACTCAAAATTACATCTATCCACAACCAATCCCAATCTCACCTATCTATGTTCCTCACCTGACAACTCTGAGATCTAAAATATTTTACTACTGCCACGGTTCAAATATATCTCCCAAAGTTCATATGTTTTTTTTTAAATAAATTTATTTTTTAAGATTTATTTATTTGAAAGAAAGTTACAGACAGAGGCAGAGAGAGAAGTCTTCCATCCACGGGGGCTCATTCCACAGCAACGGCTGGAGCTGCACGGACCCAAAAACCTCCTTGGGTCTCCCACACGGGTGCAAGGGCACAAGGACTTGGGCCATCCTCTACTGCTTTCCAAGGCCATAGCAGAGAGCTAGAGGGGAAATGGAGCAGCCAGGACTTGAGCCGGTGCCCATATGGGATGCTAGCACCACAGGCACCAGCCCCATATTTATTTGAAACAGTTACACAGAGGGAGAGAGAGATCTGCCACCCACTTCCTAAATGGCCACAATGGGCAGAGGTAGGCCAACTGAAAGCCAGGAGCTTCTTCCGGGTCTCCCGTGTGTGTGGCAGGGGCCCGGATTGGAGTGGGGTAGCCAGGACTGAAACCAATGCCCATATGGGATGCCAGCACTGCAGACGGTGGCTTTACCTGCTATACTACAGTGCCGGCCCAGGTTTAGGTGTCAGAAAATTTATTCCCAGAGCCAGAGAGTTGTTCCACATCTGACCCAGCTCCCTGCTGATGTGCCTGAGAAAGCTGCAGAAGGCCCATGTACTTGGGTCCCTGTACTAAGACTCAGATGAAGCTTCTGGCTCCCCTCTGGCCCAGCCCTGATCACTGTGGCCATTTGGGGAGTGAACCAGTGGAAGGAAGATCTCTGCCTTTCAGATCAATCAATAGATCTTTAAAACAAAAAAACAAAAAAAACTTAATTTCCAGTATAGCCATGTTGAGGTGGGACCCTTAGATTAGGTCACGAGGGCTCTGCTCTAATAAATGGACTGCCATTATCTCAGGACTGGGTCAAGATGAAAGGATGAGTTCAGGCCCCTTTCCCCTCCAGCACAGACACACTCATCCATGTGATGCCTTCCCACCATGTTGTAACACAGCAAGAATGCCCTGCCCTTACCAAGTGTGACCCCTAAATCCTGGGCTTCTCAGCCTCCAGAACTGGGAGCCAAATAACTTTCATTGTTTGTGGATTTCCTAGTCTGCGCTATTCTCACAGCAACGCTAAAGAGACTAAGACACTTACCAATAATTATATGGTACTCCTGAACCTTTTATTAACAGTAATTTTAAGAGTGGTATAAGTCAATTAACAAGTACAGTTAAGCCTATCGAAGAAGAATAAATTAATTCAGAAATTTAACAACGACTCACCAACTAAAACTTTAGCAGCTGGATTGTCAACACCAATGTTTTTCAGAATAGTGGCACCGTCATTAGTTACCATAAGAGAGGCTTCTCGTCCACTGCTTAGAAGAATTTTGTCCTAAATAAAACATATTGGGTTCAAATTAAAACATAAATGGACCTTGAAGAGCACCCAGATCAATCAGTACTCCAAATACTGCTAACGTGTAAACACTCTGGGTGACTACTTGGGAGTATGCAAGTTTATAATGTATACTCCGCAAGCAAACCTTGGTATCTCTACCCCTAGAAGCACAGAGAGAGACAATCTGGGTTTCAGCACCCTTAAGAGCAGAAACAGTGATTGCCATTTAATATCCAATAGGACTTGGATACATTCATCTTACTTTTATAATTAAAACTTGGGATATTAAGAGGTCTAAAATAATATTAAAACTACGAAAAGAAAATTCCCTCTTTTCCTTACCATGCCCTTGGGTCCCAAGGTGCTCTTTACCAAGTCTCCAATAGCGATGGCACCAATGAAAGACGACTGGAGTAAAAAAAAAAATCAGAGATTGTGAGAATTCATTTTAGCCTTAAAGAACAACTTTACCTCTCAAACAGTAAGAACGTCAGAAAAGGGTTTACCAGACGAGCTGTCTCTGCTCTTTCTTCATCAGCTCCAGCTTTGAAGATGTTAACAGGCGCAAGGGAAAGGGACGCCTTCAGAGGAAAACCAAGAAACAATCAGTTTGAACAACAACTCTGGAACACATATATTTACATGCCTTCCACTGGATTTACATGCAGGTATCTAAGAGAACATTCATTTACAATACGGCGATTGCAAACAAATTCAGCTTCCAAGAGGGGCGGGATCAGAAAGGTACTGTGCCGTTTTGGGTAACAAGCACGCCAGGAATAAAAATTACACACCCGAGAGGCGGACTACCGAGCAGGGCAAGACCAAAGACGATCTTAAAACAAGAACAAGGCCCGCAAAGGTTGGGGGAACACGAGCCGGACGCCCGCCGGGGAGGCAGCCTCCATCTTTTACCCTCGGGCGGCTCCTTCCCCGCAGCCCCAAACCCCGCCCCGAGGGGGAAGGCGGGGCCGGCGAGGCGCTAGAAATTTCTCCGGCGAGGCTGAGGCCCACGTTTCGGGGTCCCGGGCTCGGGCTTGTGGAAAGGCCGAGTCTGACCAGACATTGGCCTTACGGAACCACTTCTCCGCCTGGCCTGCATGGACGGCTTCACTGGCTGGCCCCGCGCGGGCCACACGCGCGGCCCGCGCCATGTGCGGCGGGCCCAGGAGGCCGGCTCGGGGAGCCTGCGACGCTGGGAGGCCAGAAAGAGCAGGGGGGCGGCAAGGCATAGCGGGGCACGGCCGGGGTTGCGAAGGGACAGGAAAGAGGTCAGACTCACCATGGTTCCGAGGAACTCGGGACACGAGCGATTCCCTCACAGCCCGCGCCCGGAGCCAGCAGCGAAGAGAAGCCGGAAGTGACGCCACACGCTCTATCGCGAGGGCAGGGCCCCGCTCTACGAGACCGGAAATAAGCCCTACGCCGTGGGGCGGGGCCTGGGCTCGCGCTCCCGCCCCCTGCGGCGCCGCCGGCTCTCGTCCGAAAGAATGGCCTGGCGGATTCGCAGAAACAAAGAATTGCCGCCCTGTTTCGGTTGCCATGCCACGGAGTTTGTGCCCGTATTTTGTCTTAAATTTAATACTTAATTTGTGTTAAAAGCACATATATACACAGCTATATACTACTAAGCAAAAAGCATTCCTCACATCCCATGCTCTTATGGTGGGCAACCTCTTCCGGCTTCCCAGTTTCTTTTATTTGTCATATTCGTGAATGATATTTTTGCTTTATTCTCTTTCATTTTAAACATTGTTGAGCATTACAGAGGGAAACTCCCTTTGCTTTTGTAGAATCTTAAAAAGCTGTTTCAAATTGGATTTACACAGTCCAGAAAGACACAGTCATTTGAACTCCCCTGTTTGCTCATTTTCAGGTTTGCATATTATATTTTTTTCTACCTTTACATGATCAGGAGGGATTACAATCAATCCCAAATAATTCTTTTATTTAAAAAACTTTTCAGGGTCAATGCTGTGGAGTAGCAGGTAAAGCCGACACCTGAAGTGCCGGCATCCCATATGGGCGCTGGTTCAAGTCCCAGCTGCTCCACTTCTGATCCAGCTCCCTGCTACGGCCTGGGAAAGCAGTAGAAGATGACCCAAGTCTGTGGGAGACCCGGAGGAGGCTCCTGGCTCCTGGCTTCCCAGTCGGCGCAATTACCTTCATTGCGGCCATCTGGGCAGTGAACCAATGGATAGAAGACTCTCTGCTTCTGCCTCTCTGTATCTCTGCCTCAAATAAATAAATAAATCTTAAAAAACAAATTTCTATTTTATTTGGCCACTCTAAGATGTCTAAAGCAAAACTTTGTGTTTTAAAAAAATAATTAGGGGGCTGGCGCTGTGGCGTAGTGAGTAAAGTCGCCATCTGCAGTGCCGGCATCCCATATGGGCCACGGTTGGAGTCTGGGCTGCTCTGCTTCCAAACCAGCTCTCTGCTATGGCCTGAGAAAGCAGTAGAAGATGGCCCAAATCCTTAGGCCCCTTCACCCGCATGGCAGACCCAGAAGAAACCCCTGGCTTCAGATCAGCATTGTTCTGGCTGTTGTGGCCAATTGAGGAGTGAACCAGTGGATGGAAGATTTATCTTTCTCTCTGTCTCTCCTTTTCTGTAACTCTGCCATTCAAATACATAAAAACTTTTAAAAAATTTTACTGTAAAACGAGTATAAAAAAAAGTGTGCACGGATTTCAAAATTGTTTTGCACCCAAATAAGCATCTTTTAATTCCATCTCCCATAAACTTGTTGAATTATGCCCATACTGTAAATGATTTTCCACCTCTTTCCTTTTATTATTTTTTTTGACAGGCCGAGTGGCAGAGAGAGAGACAGAGAGAAAGGTCCTTCCCCGCCTCCAGTTCACCCTCCAATGGCCGCCGCGGCCAGCGCACCGTGCTGATCCAAAGCCAGGATCCAGGCGCCTCTCCTGGTCTCCCATGGGGTGCAGGGCCCAAGGACCTGGGCCATCCTCCACTGCACTCCTGGGCCACAGCAGAGAGCTGGACTGGAAGAGGGGCGACTGGGACAGAATCTGGCGCCCCAACCGGGACTAGAACCTGGTGTGCCGGCGCTGCAAGGCGGAGGATTAGCCTATTGAGCCACGCCGCCGGCCCCTTTTTATGATTTTTGTAATTACCTATGTAGGTAGGTTATAGCAATAGCTTTGACCTGAAGAAAGTCTTGGTGGTTTACAAAATATATGCTTTAATAACAATTTGTTGTGTCTGCTGGACTGAGCAGCATTGGGGATATCCTTAAATGCTCAATCTTGTGGAAAAGAGAGAATAGGCATTTTTATTATGCATTTTCTCCAAGGGTTTAAACAACAAGCATCTATTTACTATGCGCACAGTCCCACAGTGGGTGTTCTGCAAGCTCCCCAATCAGAGGGCTCTCCTGTCTCAGATGGTGGGGTACTCTGCTTTCCAGACAATGGAGATCCTGCCCGGATGGCTCCTCAGCTCCAGAGCTGGGTGTCACAAGCCCTAGGCCTCCAGATTTCTAGGGAAGGGCTTCTCAAACACCGTGTAATGAGAGGGCTTGTAAAAATTCCATTTGGTTCAGGCAAATACTTCAAAAAACACAAAATCACAGACTTGCATGTTCCAACACTGTCAAACTGCTGTATGTTTCCAAACAAACACAATTTGGTATTTACCTCGTTGTGACTGTGTGACATTTGGGGAATGAATAGAAGGTGTCTCTCTCGTCTTCCCCTCTCTCTGCCACTCTGCATTTCAAGCAGATGAAAATAAACATTAAAAAAATATTGGAGGGCCAGCATCGTGGCACAGCAGGTAAAGCCATAGCCAAAGCCGGCGCCATGGCTCAATAGGCTAATCCTACACCCGTGGCGCCAACACACAGGGTTCTAGTCCCAGTCAGGGCGCCAGATTCTGTCCCAGTTGTTCCTCTTCCGGGCCAGCTCTTTGCTGTGGCCCGGTAGTGCAGTGGAGGATGGCCCAAGTCCTTGGGCCCTGCACCCCATGGGAGACCAGGAGAAGCACCTGGCTCCTGCCTTCGGATCAGTGCACCAGCCGCAGTGGCCATTGGAGGGTGAACCAACGGTAAAGGAAGACCTTTCTCCCTGTCTCCCTGTCTCTCTCACTGTCCACTCTGTCAAAAAAAAAAAAAAAAAAAAGCCACGGCCAATGACACCATAAGGGCACCTGTTTGAGTTCTACTGCTCTGCTTTAAAAAAAAAAAATTTTTTTTTTAATTTATTTGAAAGGCAGAATTACAGAGGGACAGATACAGAGGCAGAGAGAGCGAGTCTTCCATCCACTGGTTCACTCTCCAGATGGCTGCAGCAGAGCTGCACTGATCTGAAGCCAGGAGCTTCTTCCTGGTCTCCCATGGGAGTACAGAGGCCCATGTACTTGATCATCTTCTACTGCTTTCCCAGGCCATAGCAGAGAGCTGGATTGGAAGTGGAGCAGCCAAGACACAAACCTATGCCCGTATGGGATGCCAGCACTGCAGGCAGCGGGTTTACCCACTATGGCACAGCACTGGCCCCCTGCTCCATTTCTGATCCAGCTCCCAGCTAATTGCCTAGAAAAAGCAGTGGAAGATGGGTCCACCCACGTGGGAGACCTGGAAGAAGCTCTGGGCTCCTGGCTTCAGCCTGGCCTAGCCCCAGCCATCGTAGCCATTTGGGGAGTGAACCAGAAAACAGAATCTCTCTCTCTCACTCTGTGACTCTTTCAAATAAATAAATTAAAAAAAATTGGAGTGATAATTTTCTCAATTTTCCTAAGGTATACAGCTAATATGAGAATATGAGGTATGAGAAGACATTAACTCATCATATACAAAGTAGGTCTTAGGACTTAACTCTCTGGGGGAGGGGAGAGAGGAAGGGTATTAGCCCTGTTTCAAAGGCTGTTCTAAACTATAAATTCTTTTGAGGACAAAGACTGCCATCTTTATAACTAGCACAAGGCCCAGTCCATGCTCATTAATTAAATAAAAAGATCTTGTGAATAGCTACTGCCCTCACAACAGCCTCAAAGGGCAAATGCCTCAGGAAGTAAGTCCTTAAACTCCTGAGAACAAATGCCTAGGTTTTCCAAGACACAACTTCTGCCACCACTTCTTGGCCAATTTATGATTTTCTAGTGTCTGGCACATGGTAAGCACCCAATCTTTTGTGGGCTTGTCTATCCCTGCATTGTTTAGATTATTTTATCTCGAGCAAACTCAAATAGGCTTTGAAATACCACTCAGTGGAAATCTCAGGGCTGAGAAGCTACTAGCTTGCATGACTACCCACATACAGTGTGATAAAGACTGTCAAAGATTTAAAATTTCACTTCGCTTTATGAAACACATAATCTTCAACTCTTATGTTCTCTTAAAAAATGAGACCATGATATGAGGCTAGGAAATAAAAGCTGTATCATAAGGTTTCAGGTGATGTGTGGAATATAAATACAGTCAAACTTAAAGTACTTTTTAAGAACTTTTATTGGGGTTTTATTGCAATCTACTTTTGGCAATAAGAGGAAAGTGACCATAAGAAAAACTCTGATCAGATATTATTCAACAAAGCAGTTTTTCATGAATGCTTAAGGTCAGTGTATAGTCAGCTCAGCTTCCAGTATCAGCTTGAGTACCTCATTATGGATATCTATGCCAGAATGACAATAGTAAGGCATTGCACGATGCTAAATCATCTAAGATTAAACCGCATTTTACATATTATAATTTTGAGGACAGTAAAGTATACTAATACTCTACAATAAATAAGGATTTTATTTTAAAAAATGTGTTGCTTAGCCCTTGTTGAACAAAATTTAATTATTAGCTTATTCGTTGAGTACTCCAGTTAATAAAGGTTTGATTGTACTTCAAGAACTCTGACTTTTCCAAAGATAAAAAAAATTAGTTCTTATTTGTTATGACAAAAATTAGGCTTAAAAGCACATTCACACTTGTCCTTAAAAGCACATTTTTATCATATATGAGATAACTTCTCATGCCCGACAACATGGCTTATATGGCAAAGAGTTATATGCAAAGGACAACTAGAGGGCTATCCTCCCATCCCCACTTCCTCCAAAACGCCACACTCGGCCTCAGTGTAAAAGGTATATTTTATTGCCATGCTACAAAATGTATGAAGTTGGCACTGATAGGGAGAAAGAGAACAAAGGGCAGAGAGGGACAGAGGGAAAATGATGTTGTTACATACATAACAAGGTTTTGTTTTAATCAACAGTGGTAAGTTTTGCCAATATTAAAAAATGCAAACCAAAATTTAAAATGCTGATATGAAACAGCATTAAAATACAATTTATGCATAGTACAGTATCACTTATATGTCTTCTATTAGAGAAATATGGAATGTTTATAAAAGAA